AAAAACGTTGCAAAAGCAGTTCATTAAAAGATTTAGCACACGATTTTGGGTGTTGCCCAGCTTCCAGTCTGGGTACTATTTAGCAGGAGCTACAACAAGGATTTCTGAAATGCATACACTCATCAACAGCGAACTTCACAATGAAAAAAAGACAGTTTTGTTTTGAAAAAAATCAGTAACAAATCAATCCAAGTTTAGTTTGAAGTACATAAAAGAGGTTATTCAAAAGCCAATCAACTAACTTGCTCTCTCTCCCTTCCTCAAGAGCCATCTTCTTCCACAAGAAGAAACTGGTGCAGCCCTGGAGCAGCAGAGAAGTAAACGCGATCTCCAAGGATATTGGCACAACTGCCAGCCTGTGGTGGGACTAAAGTAGTATTAGTTTGGTATGGGCAAAGCTAAGGCGAGTTTTGTAAGGTACGAAAACAAATGATGGGGCAGAAACGCATTAGCCAAATAGCTTTAAAACCATTATTTCTGCCTGATGTGAGCTTGACTCTGACACAAGTTTGCATTAGCCATCTAAATGTTTTTCCACAAAAAGATGTATCTTAACTTCTCTGTCGTCCAGAAAGCTTTAGGTAATTGTATCAAAGTGGAACAGTATTTATTCTTGGATTTATTAAATGCCCGTCTGGAGCTCACATTGTTTCTCAGACAGGCAAATAAACAAGAGCCTTTAAGGAAAATTCAAAAGAAATGGGGAAAATATTCACAAATCAACTACAAAATGTTTTAAAATGACATAAATGCAAGTTACCATGCCATATTATTATTACAATGCTGATAAAACTGTGAGGCAACAGCTGTCTATAATGACTCTTCCTAACTTTATGCTTTCCTTGTCCTCCAGTTTCATTCCCTCCAGCTACATGCTACTCCCTATATCTGGGACCTCTTCTTTGCCAACCTCAATCTACGCAATTGCTCTGTCTTGGCAGTACTTGTTGGCTCCCAAAATTGCTTCAGGTCCAAGTAAAAAAATCTATATTGCTCACCACCATTTACTTTGCCAGCTCTCACAAAGCCATTGGTCCCTGTTGCCGGTCATCATCTGTGAGTTTCACTCTCTCTTCTACCTACACTGTCCTTGGGAGGTCATTCTTTGGCTGTGCATTTCATTTGAATCTGCTCCCAATCCTCAACTTTGATATTCTTCCAACTGTAGATTGTTTAACTTTCCGAAGGAGAAAGTCCTGAAATTACATCACTGTAGTTTAAGATGGAGTCCGGCCCTTCCTCTTTAAATTATTTAATGAGACACTTACCTGATTAATCATTTGTTGCATAACAATATTTGGTCAAAGAAATCAAGACCCTATACGTAAGACCCAATACACAAAATCTCATTAAGAATGAAGTTTTTTCACCACTGCTAAATTTTATTTAATTTTTATTATTGTGTGATTGTTTTATTTTTATCTCAAAGTCTGCGCTTGCTGTCATTAAAATGGCAAATGACTAGCCAGGCTATTCAGAGTTACATTGTATTCTAAATGATAAGCAGGAAGAGTTGTTTTTGTCAAAATTTCTATACATTTTATATTGGTTGCAAAAAAGTATAAATGATGATCGTCATAAAAAATGTATTTAACTATCCAGGTTTTGTGTCTGGGAATATTTTGTTCTATGGATGTTCCCACACTGTGCAGGGCCGTGAGTTCTACTTTGACCTTATGTAGGTCCTCTACAGTCCAAAGGTCACTACTGCATTCACATTTTTTCCTGCTCAGAATGTCTGAAATAATATAAGAACTACATGCAGTCCAACCAAGTATATATTCACGGCCTTTTCATATGCAGGTGTGTGTTGCATGTTAGGTATGTTTTAACTGTAGAGAGGAATTAACGGTGAAAAGTCCACTGGGAATGTATTCAAAAACTATGTAGAGTGAAGAGACATAATACGGGGCTTTCTGTGGCACCTAGTAGCAAACTTTTGGTGTGACAAATGTCTTACAATCTTTTTATGAGATTAAGGAGCTGTCTTCTCTGAAGCAGGGATCTGTATCTTTTAAATGAACTAAATGAGTAGTCTAGATGTACTATGGTCACTTTCTCCAACCGTGAAAATCCAATGAAGTCAATTTTTCCTCACAGTGACTAAGAGCAGAGCACATCTCTAGGATGTAAACCTACAGATTACAACTTGTCCTTCAGAATACGGGTAATATGATGATAGTGATACACGCAAGTCATAATGTGGAAAAAGACATAAAACAATTTGACTTTCCTCTGTGGAAAAGTTCTTCCCATAAGACATGAGGAAAGTTATTATCAAACAGGTCACATCTTCAGCAGTATTTCTATGGTGGCTGAGTTCTGTTGCTTTTGTTTTTTACTGCAGATACATTGACACCAATCTTATGCTCTGCATTTAGTAAAATGGTTTGCAATGGAAACAGGTATTTACTTACTTAACTATTTAAATAAGTTAATAAGATTCACAATTAATGAAGTGTGAATTACCATACCAACTGAATTAATGAACTTCTATGAATTCAAAAACTTACGTTAAATGAATTAATATACAAATTCTAAAAGGAGATAACATGTGGAGCTTGATGTTGCATGGAAACCATCTGCCACTCAAATATATATATTACCACTGCTATCAGAAACAGACAAACAGAAATCCATTTGTGTATTCAGGCTAGCAGACCAGTGCCTTCATTTAATACATCTGAATGAATAGTGTTTCTGGATATCTGCCTAGGCACAACCAGAGTACAATTCTCTTAGTTAAGTCAAATCCATGCAAGTCTAGACATCTACAACGATAACACGGATAACAGAGGTTAGAACTTATATTCTGGCAACGTGATGGGGTTTAGAGTACAGAATGGTCTTACTTCATGAAAATAAATAGTTTGTAACTAGTAAGCATGATAAAAACATGCTTCAGATGATTCACAAACCAATCACTCACATATGCTGTCAATCAGCACACTATCAACAACTACTAATGTTGAGTTTCTCTTCACTAATCTACAGGATCTCTCTATTTAATATTCAGACTAATTAGATTCTGTTGCAGTTATTTGGTAAAGTACTTAGGAAAAGGGTAATATATTTCTTGGTTTTATGCGTTATTTTCTGTAGCATCCAGGAAGAGGGAGGACAGTCCACGCAGAGTTTTTGGGTAGAAAAAACTAAACCTAATGAATGCAATGTTTTTCCAAATTCTTCCTCAGTTTAAAACATGCCCACTAAGATTACTGGTGAGCAGCTTTTTGAAATTACTGTTTCATTTTATTAGAGTACCAATACTACTGTTCACTGAAATTAATGCTGTTAAACCAAGAAATAATGACAGAACTAGTTGTTTTTGCAGTAGTCACATAATAAAGGACAACTGATCATACCAAAATCACGACATACTCTCCTGCCATTCATAAGAGAGGAACACACTGTACTGTTGCAAAAATAACAGTGTGCTTGGATGTGAGCCAGAGTCAGTGAGAAATACATTTATGATTATAGCTAGCAACTTAATTTACAAGAATCTGACTTAAAAGAAACAAAAAAAACCCCTCACACCACTTTGAGAAAAATGCATCCAGATAAACAAGACCATTTGATCTACTGCACTGAACACAAGTCTGAAGTTGTAAGACTTGGTTTGCCAGCTGCTGCCACTGTACTTCCTGTATAATAAGCAAACCAGTGGGTGGTTATTTAGCACTGGGCAAGCCGTATCTCAGTTGCATTGATTTGGTAATTATTTGGTAATTAAAAAAAAAAATTTGGGACATACCTTAGATCTCTAGGCTTCAAATGCGATCAATGGCTAAAGTGCGTTGCTCATACAGAAAAAGCTGCCATTGTTTTAAGAAGGACAGGTTTACAATTTCAAGAGTTGAGACTTTTGAAATGAACTTTAAACTTTACCTTGTTTGAAAGTATTTATACAAGGGAATTTTGACAGAATCATGTGCCCGCATGTTATGATTAAGGTCAAAGAAAGTAGAGATAATCCAGCTTTATGCAAAATGACACCCATGCTGAACAGGTCCCACCCATCAGTTTTGCCACAGAATAAAACGATTCTCTAAAAGCCTGCTTTTGCTTGAAGTCAGCATATTCCAATGGTATCAGACCTGTCAAATCAGAAAAATGAATATCATTTTGTTTCAGAGTTAGTGATTAGGCATTTATATTTAAGGATAACATAGTGCTCTGTGACCTAAATGAGACAGCAATATGTGATTGAAAAGAAGGAATGCAATTACAAGCTGATGTTCAGTGGGCATAGTCCTGAGTAACTCCAGTGATAAATGATATCTAATGATAGACAAAAAAAAATGCACTGAGGAATACCATCAAAGTTCAATGCCAATCCTTTAAAAGCTCTTGCTTTGGAAAAGAAAATAAGCAAACTTTGCTTCCTGAGAATGACCATACATCCTTCTTAGTAATAACTCTGATTAGGTGATCCTCATTATTCTCCTCATGTTACTTTGTTTTCAATTGCTTATGGAGTTGCCAAATTCAAAACATTTGATGAATACTTTCCATCTTTAGTCCCAGATTTCACAGTAATATTTGGGAAAGTTCAGACAAACTTTTTGCTGCTGGTCAGTATACTTAAAGCCAAAGATAGCATCAGTAACATAAACCTATTCACGTTCATCTTCCTCCATCTTTTGACTTCCATAATTGAACATAGGACTTGGCACAAGTCAAAGTCTAAATCCAACATACCTTATGTAGTCTCTTGTGGAAGCCACAGAACCATTTCCACAGATGCAGCAGAATCTGCAGGAAATTTGCTCTGAAAACTTCAGAAAAATGCATAAAATGAAATGCGAATGAAATGTACCCAAGTGATCCTGAAGTAACCAAAGACACCAGAACACATGGGAAACTGATCTTTGTTTTCCTGTTACATGCTTGTTTTCATTGGAGCCTTCTCTGATTCAGAGCACAAACAGAACAGAGCTCTTGAAACAAAAACAATCTTAAAGCAAGTCTTTTCTATAAATCTCATATATTTTATTTTAGAAACCAAGGCATGCCCAGCAACAAATGAGTTGCAAAGAGAAAGAATCGTTTTCTCAATAAAGAACTGGGCAGGCACTGGAGAAATAAGATTTATTGCCAGTTCTAACACATGCTGCTGATACTATGCTAGACACAGCAACATTTTTGACATATTCCTCATACAGCTGATAGAGGGAAAAAAAAATAAAGCTCATGGCTTGTTTTCAAATTGTTTGTCAAAACAATTTTTCAGGGGTTATCTTTCTAAATTTCAAAATAATTTTTCAAACATCAATGGAAAAGATTTTTTTTTTATGGTTTGGATTGGAAAGAGACAAGAAGAGAAAGGAAAACAAGCTTTACTTTCATATGTGCATAAATTAAGTTTGAAAAGCAAAAAATTCAAAGGATCTGACTTCCAGGCTTCCAAAAGCATTATCCCATATGGCTTACATTTTGCTCAAGGAAATAGACTCTTCTAGCAGGGGACAGCGAGAGAAAAGCACTCAGGCGGCGCGTTCAGCAGAGTCTAAGCAGCTCTGACCTGCAAAGCTGCGCTCCCACGCTGATGCATGGTGACAGTACAAAAGCGTGCGTAGGAAGCGAGGGTGGGTGTGTGGCTTCTGAATGCATGCCAGTGCCATTCCTCTGGCGAAGTCCCCTCTCGGGGAAGCGGAGCTGCTGCAGAGGCTCCCGCGTGCTGAAAGCTGCAGCTGTGTGCACAAAGTACTCGTGCTAATTCTGCACAACCTGGGGAAAGATTCGGGGGCGGCTGTATCACCAGCACAATGCCTCCGCTGAACATTCCCCAAACAGAATCTATTAATATGGAGAGAAATAACACATGTATTTTTTATGATAATATTTCAGCATGCCCAGGTTTATTCACTGCCCTTTACAGCACTGCTGCCGTTGTAGCACAGAAAGTGCAAAGAGTGAGCTCTGGGGTGTCACCAAACACCATTTCAAAACAGACAACTACACCAGCTGCAAGGAAATAATACATTTTTTCTTTTATCATATTGCTTGCAGTTTCTGTTTTGACACCGGTAGCAAGAATAAGTACTGAGAAGGGAAATGTAATCCACATTCTGAGAAACGTGATTTTCAGAAGACGGATCAGATCATATTCTTAATACGTTGCAACAGTGCTCACTACCAAGGACTGCTTCACGTAAAAACAGCCATAGATTAGACCCATCTCCTGAATTTTATCCTAGGATCAATATTTCAGAGAATCACTATCATTGATGTTTGGGGCTTTTTTTTTTTTTTTTTTTTTTTCAAAAAATAAAAAACTTTAAATTATATTCATCTGATCCTCAGTTCTGTTGGAGGTGATTAATGCACATGAAAAGTCTGCCTGTCTTCAGATATTTCTTTTAAATAATCTGTTACAGAGTATATTTCACGGCCTGGCAAGCAGAGAGAAGTTGCTGTTGTAGGACCCTTTTAGAGCTGGGGAAAGAAATGTTAAACAACTGCCAAACACATCCACTGTGAGTCTGTTTGCAAAAGAATTACCTAATGCTAAATTGGATGTCAGGCTTTTTAAATAATATATATATGTGTTAAACATGGTGAACTTACAGAACCTGTGCCAAGATACATTATTTATCCAGTGCTCATTAAAAATTTTAGTCTTTAACAGAAGCAGGATGAAATCATTACTTTAATGCTATATAAAATTACAGAGTTTTAATTCTCTATTTTTCCATTGTATACTCCATTTTTCATCTTTGAACATAATTTAATTTGCAAAGGCAGAATAAATACATCCTTATATTTCTACCAACGCCCACATTAGTTCACTGCTGCTAATAGAAAGACTATCACAAGTGCCGAGGGTTGCAGTAGAAGAATTAAAACCTCCCATGTCTCTGGGTGGCTTGTCACGGAAATCCATAGGAGGAGTTTTTAAGAGATCTCGGGTGGAAAATTACAGCAACAACTATCAGCTTCCAATCTGTGTTCTCACAAATTGATGCAATGACATGTATTTGCATTTCTCTGATAGGGAATGATAGAGCACGTTAATAGCTATTAAGTAGTCTAACAATTATTTAAATTCAGGTTAACCCTAATTACATTTTCTATTAAATCCAGCAAGTGATTTCCCCACCTCCAGTGACAAGAGCCTCGTGGTGAGGCTTGCACACAGAAGTCCCTCCAATCTGCCTCCCATTAGGCCCCACTGGGGAAGCTCTGAGCATGCAATGGCTTCTGTGCTCCTGTTCCTTTCCCCAGCCCTAGGAAGCTGAGAGATCAGAAATGATCAGGACAGGAACTGTTCCACAGCAGCTGAGCTCCACTGATCCTCTTCAACCTGACAGCTTAACTGCAGCACTGGGCTCATTCACCAGATCCAACCCATGTGAATAGTGCAGGACCCAAAATCTGCCATAAAAGTTGGACACAGGGGAAACAGTGGAGCTGCAAGAGGACAGCAATGCTGGTTCACGCAGCTATCTTTGTGCAATCTCTGATTTGAACCTTCAGTAGAAGGCTACCGAGGCTGTGTCACGTCCCTATGTACAGCAGACTTCTGCAGAAGCATTCTCTCTTCCCTAAATGCCACGAGGAATCCCACAGGCAAAAGGATCTCTTTTGCTGAGCACAGCTGATGAAGATTTGCTCTCCAGACTCTTTTGTGTATTTTTGTTCAGCAAAGAAATACAAGAGCTTAAGAAAAATAATCCCCTCTGCGTAAAAAATAAATAAATAAAAAATTCAATATTGTAGAATGTCAGCCCTGCATCTTCTTTACCCTGTAATTCATTTATTACTAACAGATAGTTATTGAAACACGCACGTGATTCATCTCTATCAGTTAAGTGAGGGTTTTCTTCAGGAAGTCTTGACATGGTATAATCAGAAATGTGGCCATTGTTCACTCTCACTGTTAATTAATTTAATTTAGATTTAAATGTATGATTAATTTTAATACTGTGGAGCATTAATTATGTTTGTGTTCAAATGATCGGTATTAACCTAATTAGTGACCATAAAATTCCCAGGCATAGCAATTAAATCAGAATTAAGATTGCAAATATTTTCCTAATGGAAAATTTTGAGTAGAAAACCAGCATGCTCAAGGGCTACAGCCACAAAGAGCACGTAGTTTTGTACAATGACTTGCATAATGAATTTGGGATTGTTGCATAAGATAATAGCATTTGTAACACAATGTTAGAAACAAAACCATACATAACAAGTAAGATACACAGTTACTTCAATCAAGGCATTTAAGCATCACCAAGTACACATAAACCCTTTTCAATAATCTACTTCTTCACTTCAAAGGCAGAACAGAAGCCTCATCCCATTCCCAAGGCCACTGAAAACTGTTCTACGGATGGGACCAATCCCCTTGCCAGCCACTTATCCTTCATGTCCAGTTCCCTGCCAGTAGCCCCGTTTCCTCGGGTTCCTTCCTTCATGCTGGCATCTTCCCATCCACAGTTTGACAAAGTGCAGCAAGCTGCATCACGCTATAGCAAGTAACTCAGAAATTTGCTGGTAGGTCCTGGAAAACACAGGCTAGAGATGCGGACTAGCTGAGTTGAATAGAGAATGCCACAGCTAAGTCACCACACAACAACAACTGATTTTACAAATAGAACAAAAACCTGCAAAAAGGGTTCTGCTCCAGGAGACAAATGGCCTTCACAACCTAAGCACTGGTCTGTTCTGAAGAGCTTGCACACATGGTGCCCAAAGAAAACCTCCTAAATCCACTTTCTTTGTCAGAAAGCATTGCTCTGCTGTTATTCTACACAGCTCTTCTTGCAATTAAATGACACTGAATCATTAGTGTTCCCACAGGATAATGCAGCTATTTGTACCTTAATCTGACTCTCCTTCCACTTACTCTATTGTAAAAAGCTTTCTCTACATTACTCGTTACAAGCACTACCCCAGACCTAAGCCATTTAATTATAGAGGGAATGTATTGCTCAGTATGACCCCCACAAGCTACTTGACTGTTCCCAGGTACTGAGATGACTGCAACTGAAATATTTATTTAACGCAAAAGCTTTATGTTTAGTTGGAAATTGATCTTCAGCTTAACTAGATAGTATGTGGTGCATCCATACATAGATCTCCTTTAAATCTTTTTGCAAGCCAGGCATGCAGAAATAATACTTGGAAATGTAATTTTCAGATATTGTGGGACTTCAAGGTGAACAGGAACAAGTACTATTGTCTTGTCACCCTCCACGTCTTGGTTAAACACTTTATCTCAGTTACCAGCTGTATGCAGACAGCGTCAGGTCAATGCAGCAGTTCTGCATGGCATCTTATCAATTACACATTGTTGCCAAACACACAGCAGTGCTTGAAATCTGAAGTATGAAACACAAAAACAGAGGATGTGTACCTCCAGAGCTACAGTGTGTAATATATGCATAATATAAGGATTTTCACTCTGAAACTGTAGCTTTTTCACTTTTAATTTTCTCCTATAGTTTTTAATTAAGTTATATGATTAAAACAGAGACAATGGAGACAACACTGAAGAATTAGTGCAGATGAGTTACAAAGGAGTTGCTGCCTACAGTAAACTTCAGGTTTACCCTCAGAAAGCATTTGTACGGATTTCCATTTTCCTATGTCTGCACCTCTACATGAGCTGTAATACATGTGCACCTGTGCCTGAGCCTGGGAGTCAGCACATGTCATGTCATGGTGTTGTCCAAGATGGCTATACAGATGGGTGCACTAATGGGAGGCTGTGTTCCAGCACATGCCAGGGGCTGCTCACCATTTGGTCTTTCACTCCACTACTTTCAACATCGTGTGATAGGATATCACTGATGGTAACATTAATGTATAATAGAATTGTCCTAGGCTGGAAAGATCACTAGGAAGTGCTTTACAGAGAGTCTCATGACAGTCATGTGGTATTGGGTTTTGGGAACTGATCTATTAAAAAAATCTGTTTCAGTTTGCAATATCCCAGCATATCCTGCAAGGCATACCAGTTTCAGAGTCTTGTACTGCATCAATATCAACATAAACAAAGCTTTGTGGTTTTGTTTTGTTTTGTTTTGTTTTTTTCCTTCCCTGTCCCCCTAGTCATCTTTAGGATGAAAATCTGTTTTGGAAATCATACCATAGAATCATAGAATGACCTGGGTTGAAGAGCATCTCAACGGTCAAGTAGTTTCAACCCCCTGCTGTGTGCTGGGTCGCCAACCACCAGACCAGGCTGCCCAGAGCCACATCCAGCCTGGCTTTGAATGTCTCCAGGGATGGGACATCCACAACCTCCTTGGGCAACCTGTTCACACAGAGGGCAGTGACACAGTGGAAAACTTCCTCCTAATATCCAACCTAAACTTCCCGTCTCCATTTAAAACCATTCTCCCTTGTCCAATCACTACCCACCCTTGTAAATAGGCATTCCCTTTCCTGTTTATGTGCTCCCTTCGAGTACTTGAAGGCCACAATGAGGTCTCCCTGGAGCCTTCTCTCTTCCAAGCTAAACAAGCTCAGTTCCTGCAACCTTTCCTCATAGGAAAGGTGCTCCAGCCCTCTGATCATCAAAATCAATTTACTCTAACCAAATGCTGTTGTGTTTGCAGCCCTGGATTCTTGAATATCAACAGTTAGGTCATGAATAGTTTTAAAAATTCATTATCACAATGAGAAATCCAAAGCCAACTTTTTGATTGATATTGATTAATGGAACAACTTTATAGCTATATATTTTATTTTGAGGCTAGTGACATAAAATGTTATAAGCACTACATATGCCTGAATTAGTTTCATTTTAGGTAGCGTCAGTCCCTAAAACACTGCTCTGTCTCCTTCAATCACACTTTACAAGTTCAAACATCAGTTTGGCTCCAGCACAGCACTCTTATCAAGCTCAAATGGGTGGGTCTAAAAAGACCTCCAAACTCCTATAGGAAAACGGTTTCATGCTTGCAAACACTGAATGTAAGGGTACATTTAAGTTATTAATATTAAACTCATAATTCTTGGATACCAATATTGCATATTGATTTTGATATTATTTATTAATATAAAGCACTTCTCACTGCTTTTCCCTCTATCATCAGAATTATAAAACATTCAAGCCTAGATGTTAAGTTTAACTTAGATGTCAAAAATGGATGAGCACCACATGAATAATCAAACATGCAAAACAGGAAACGGAAGGGCTAAACGCAGTATACAGCAATGCAAACACAGATGAAGCACAACTGTGATGTGGGTGCCCGACCTACCATTTTCTGTTATGCTTTGTACTGCTTGCAGAGCAAATGAATGGAGATGTATTCAGGGACACAGTGCCCAACCCAATCCACATGCTTGTTTCGGTTTTCAAGACCATTTCCAGTGAAAGTAATCTAAGACACCTCTAAATTATTCACAGTGACCAGCCCTGCACATGACTGACAGACCATTGCTAAGCAGCCTACCTTTGCAGGCTTCCCACAGCTAAACAGGAAGGTCTCTGGGATGGGTCAGCAGGACCATCACATTCTTCTAGTCAGTTCACCAGGACCATCACGTTCTTCCAGTCAGTTGCACAGTGAATTCTGAGGAAACAGGTTTTCTTCCTGCATAATGAGAGTTATAAAAATAGTTACGCATTTCACACATCAAAGTACTGGGAAGTATCGTATTTCTCAGTGGGAAAAAAAAAAAAGGAGTACTTGCTTTTGTTCTTCCATCAAGAAAGAGCAGCTTTATAAATCCATTTCGCCATTATTTGGAACAAACCCAGACACATAATCGTATATATAAATTCACCTTTGAGTCAGCGTCTCGTGTTTCAGCACTTCTAGTCACAGCAACTTTCAGAACAGTACATTACCCATATGCTTCACATATATCACTTACCTTCTCAGTAAGTCATGAGATGAATGCTAAAATCCAGAATGCAATCTCAATCATTCCTTGGCTTTTTTAGCAAATCTTATTGATAATGTTAGTCAAAAATGTATTTTAGTATGATAGCAAGAGTTATTTCATAATTAAAACAAACAATTATTGAAATGAGGAAGATTATCAAGTGAGGACCACTTGCAGTATTCACATAGGAATCTCTAAACTAATGGTAGAAAACAAAATATATGCAAACATAATAAAGAATAAACTCTCTTTACTGAAAATTGTATGCAGTGAGAGAAAGAGGTATAAAAGCATCAGAGATTCAAAATGGTGCTTTTGTTTCAAGACATAGTGTTGGTTCTTTTGTTTATTGAGTATCATCATCATCATCCTGTCTCCACTCCCAGGAAATAGTTTCAGGATGAGGCCTCCAATAGAACAGATTTACTTAAGCACATTTGCTCAGCAGATAGAACAAAATGGAGGCTGCCAAGGACTGATAATGAATGCATAGCGTAATCGTTATCCTTGCGAGCTCGTTATTCAGTGTCATCCTTTGAACTTTTTTTCAGATTAATTCCTTCAGATTAAAAGAGAATAACTGACAAAGCTTACTGAACTTCCTGCAGCACATGATCGAGCTCCTTTACTTCCATAATGCTCAACTAACTAGCATTTTTGCCCTTCAAGGCCTGCTGCTTGCCACTTTAAGCATGTAGACTATGCCTGCATTACTGTGTGTCTCAAGCACGTCTCAAACCAAACAATGACATTCAACCCTAAGTCACCTTCATATCCCACTGATATGATGCCCCCCCTCATAAATATTACAGGAACAAAATTTAGGTCACAATGAAAAATATTAAATGAGACTGCAAAATGATTTGAATATCCATAGCCTGTACAGACCTTCAGAATTGCTGCTTAATGACTTAAGCATACTTTTCAAACTGCATTCTTATTCAAAAATCATCTGCTTCACACTCATAGCTTGTCTCTTTCATTATCTGCTTCAAAGCATCACATTATAAACCAGACCAGTTCTGTTAATGCTTTATTGACAGAAAATGCTTTATGCTTGGTGTTTCATGTCTTCCAGAGGTCAGGAAGGAAGGAGGATTTGCTGCATTTCCAAGGAATCCGGCCGATGACGGTTGTAAATGTTAATAACTAGATGAAAAGTTATACCTGCCCTTGCTGAGGGTTCTTAATGTAATCGCCTTTCTTCCTTCCATTAGGTTAGAGAGAAAATTAATGCTATAACTCATCTGAATAGGAACCTCAGGAAAGCTGTCAATTTGCAGCTTGTGACTGAGCTCAGAGGATGCCAGTTTTGAATTGGTTGTGCTCTTCCAGCCCAGACTCTTTTGACTTTGAGATTTTGCATGAAGCGAAGCTGTTTTTCCAAGGTGCATTTTATAGATTAAACAGGGAAGTGAATCTGAGGTGTGTGATCTAAGTCAGCATAGCTCATATTTTTAAATGTAACTGTCTGCCTCGGTTGTCCAAGAGGAGTTTGTTCATCACGTCATTCCTTTGGCAATGATTCTTATTTCCTAACCTGCTTCTATTGATAAGGAACTTAAAAACCAGAATAGCAGTAAATTGTATAAATAAACTAGAATTGTTCATTTCACCTGTATTATACTTTGTGGGATAAACATGAGTATAAGAAAATAATTTCTCCCAGCATTTAACCACTTAGAAGAAGTGCTCTTTTAGTACAAGAGGCAAGTATCATATGAGTGGTTTAAGACCAGAAACAAAGATCAGTTTCCCCGTAAAGGTTCACTCAGAACTCAAAAAGACAGAGATGCCTTCAGGAGGAGCACCTAATCCTCACACCACACACCTGAGCAGCAAAAGCCTTCTACAGATTTTAGGAGGAGGCAAACCAGTCAGGAGCTGAGCTGCCAGCTGTGTAGCAGAGCACCTGCCAAGCAGCTGTTCCCTCTTTCCCAACACTATTTGTAAGCAGGCGATTTCATCTTCTATTATTTTTGGTTAACACTCTAATTCCACAAAATATATATACTTAGTTCTTATTCACAGAAACAAATCTTCAGTATAGAACTTTTATGTTAAATTCTCTGAAATAAATTTAATAAAATTACCAGATTGTTTTAATATCACTTTGGAAAGTTTGCTATCTCAAGTAGCCAAGAAACATTAAGAAGTTTGGTTTCCAAATGTAATCTCTAAGGGGGACCCGCTGCCATAACCATTTCTTGCATGGTTAGATTCTGCTGCCAGCTCCAGATGTTTTACATCACTTTGACAGAGAAACTCTTTGTTTTGTTCTTAATTTCAGGTAGATATTGGAGATAAATATTCGCAGCGTCAATGATGATGATCTAAACTGCCACTTCTGATCAGGTTTATCTCATGACCCATCTCAGATGAAGTTTTGATCACCACTCCCAGAACTGACACCAACAAGGGAAACAATAATTTCATAGCATAACAAGGAATTGTTATTTGTGATGTTTGTGGGACTCCTGGACACCACAGGATATTATAGAGCTTCAGTACTGGGCAACAGAACTTTGGAAGAACACTCCAGAGACAGCACTAACATTTTAGGCTGTAGTAGACCAAGTCTTTCATTTTTCTGCATAGTGGATATAATGTACAGCAACTTCTCCCCTGTCCAATGGCCAGTGGTTACAAAACAACCAAATATGTTAGCTTTCTTTTAGTTAGCACTAACATTTTACAATAGTTCATTAGTGGTACCTCTTCCATTTTATTCACAGAAAAACTCCAAAAAAACCCAAAACAAAACAGATTTTGGAGAAGAGGATGAGTAATTTAGTGGGTTGTATTCAGTTAGTGAATAAAGATATCCTTGCTGAGAAAAACATGTTTTCTCTGTTTATTCTTCAGTTGATGATTGAAAACGGCTTTTAAATATTGTTATTGTACAAGTACAAGCAGGGAGACAGGAAGGGGTAGAGGTGATATAGTTAATTAGACTTGTGGACACGCAAGCAAACCACAAAGTGAGAGCTATTCAGGCACACTAACGTTCTGTCCTCCCTCCAGTCCTCACTGCCCACTTAGGTCTAAATGCTGGTCTATACTACGCATTAACCTGTTTGTCTGCAGTGTTTGACTAGATACCATGCTGTGTATGACAGGTTGCCTGGCAACTTAAATTCATTTAACAAAATTTAATTTCCTTTATGTTATTATTTTTATTCCATAACACACAGGGCCAAGTAAGAATTCTTATATTTTGTTACCAAGAAGGCATGTCATTTGGTAAAGCTTTCAGCTGGAACGAACATAACAGCAACTCAAAAAAGGAAAGGAGGGAGCAAGGCACATTAATAGACCATCATTTTGACCCAGCTTTAAGTTACAGCTAAGCGATCAAATGTCACGGTATGCTGATTATTTAATCAGCCCACATCTTCTCTGCTGTTCATGTATTATTCTATCAGTTGAGCACCATCTGCCCTGACAGAAAAATGCTCCTACAGTGTACAGAATGTTTAGCTGGCACGTAACTACCACTGCAGTTGTGAACATAGGAAAGCCCGATGAGCTTGGGGACACTCAGAGCAGCTGTAAGGTGAAGAGATAACTCCCATCTCAAGCAGGAGAAAACAGCTTTGTGAATGACAGTCAGGCAATGTACTCAAGAGAAAGAAAATCAGAAATTTTGTTTAATAAGTGCAGGACATTAGTGGGTTTTATCATGAATAGATGAAAAGAAGTGTAAAGGCTCACTAAGTGTAATAAATAACATAGAGCTCATACCAAAGGGAGATAATGTTATTTGACCACTTTTTTGTTTTGGTTTCCCCCCCCCACTATTACAATACACAGAAAATTGTGAAACTTCATCCTAAATTGCTGAAGTTACATAGGAAGCACAGTTGGCCTCCTCATCGTTTTCCAACCAAATATTGCCTGTTATGGAATCCTGGCCAGCACTCCAAATAAGTAGGTAGAAACATTGCATATGCTGTAAGAAGAAAACAAGCACTAAGGCAGCCAAAATTTCTTTAGGCATTGTTTAGGAACAATTTTTGGAAGAAAACATCTCTAGTTGATAGCTCAGTTACTAAACCTTGATCTGTTGCCTGGTGCTCTTTAGTCTTGCAGGCTGATACAGAGCACATAAACCCAAATCCAGATTGGCATCCTGAATACTGCTGAAGAACGGTCAGTAAAGCATGGACAGGTCCACCCACCAGGATGAAAAACCACACCCTGGCAGCTCTGTTGTCCTTTTACTGAATTCCTTGGAGAGGAACCAGGAATTTCCAGTGGGACTGGAACTGGGCCCAGTATGCCACACTCTCATGAAGTACAACTGCCTACTGGTTAAACAGTGCCAAGGGTGTCTCAGCCAGATGCTTGTTTGCTGACTACTGAGAAAGGAAAAAATACTCATGTATTTTTTCATGAGTAGGGTTTACAGGATGTAAGTTGGCCATATTAATTACAAATTAAGCAATCACAAAATAGAGATGAGCCATGAAATTTGGTTTGGCTGCAGTTCCGTACATGCAGTATATGAAAAAATAACAGTATAGGAATAACCATAGGTATTGGATGAAGAAAAAAATCTGTATTAAGTTATTTCATTATAGGTATTTATGTGTTAATGGAGATAGTTCTTCTTCTGCTATACAGAATAATAGACTATAAAATTGCTTAGGTAACATAAGTGCTTTCTATAGCAATGTATGTACTGACTCAGAACAGCCCCATCACACCTCAGCAGGAGGAGCAAAGTAGGTCCAGAGGGCTGGCTAAGGGACCAGCAAGGCCCAGGATCTCACAAAAGAATACTTGAGATGTAGTCCAAGGAAAGAAACAGGGGGAAAAAAAAAAAAAAGAAAAAAAAAGAAAAAAAAAAAGTGGAGTGTTTCTTCCTGTGGATGTGTATAGAGCAGCAGATATTTCCAGGCTAAGAATACCATCTTGACTTTATCCTAGTGGAAGTTACTTTTTTCCCCCCCCCCAATTCTTTCTTCCAGGTCATTCTCTGAATTCATACAGTGTAATAAGGAAGTCCTAGTCCAAAGCAAGACAGAATATGCTTCTGTAGACACAGAAACAAAGGAAAAATAAATCTGCTTACCCTTAGAAGACCTCAGGTATGCAGGGATCTCCAGCACAACACCCTTGCTTCCACTGCCAACCCTTAAATGAGGTCTGGAAAGGAGTGGATCCTGACTCCACCAGGTGCAGTCACTCAGGCACATTGCTTGCACCTGAGCTCCCCTGAATTGGTCCTGCCTTCCTACCAGGTGCTCAATCACTACTTTAAGCCGTGACCTAGCATTTCTGCTACAGTAGACAAACATGCTTCTTTGACCAGCGCTAGTTATCTGTAAAACCATTAAAAGACTTGCTTGAGAACAGCCTATAATAGAAAGTTGTGACAGCTGCCCTCCAGGTATATTACCCACGTAGTCTACCATCAAATCTTTTCTTCATGACTTTAAGTACTTTCCTTGCTTTTCTAATAGGAATATTGTGCCACAGCATTACAGATCTGCAAATCAAGTTAGAGAACATCAACGTTCTCTGGCTACTCATTCCTAAAAACAAATGAGCTTCATTTGATATAGTTTTTGAAGTTTTGATCTGATGTGAACTGTGTTATAAAACTCTAACTTGGCTTCACCCCCAAATCCATGCTCTTCTTAAAGAGAAGCTTTGCTTCCCACTTTTCCCAGCCTGCTGGTACCTTGCCTGTCCACAACCAGCTTTCAGAAATTCCAACCCGAACTCCTGAGATTGCTTTTGACAATTCTCTGTGCACGCAGAGCTGCAGACAGTCAGGCCTGTCTCATCTTAAAACAGTTGTCTCAAGCCTTCCCCAGGTTGTTCTCTCTCTATTTTAGGCTCACCTTATTCCTTTGCTGATCATGTTAGCTGCACAAGTCATCTGTTCCCTGTAATTCTTTTTCAGTGAGGACAAATGAGAAGAAGCACCAGATGCCCAGTACCTCAATATCATCTGTAACAGGCTCTTCCTCTTCACTGAGAAGCAGGTCAGACCTTTTCCTGGTCTTCCTGTTACTAATGAGATAATGGCTTTTTGTTGTAGCAGAAATCTAGTAATTGCCATGAATGAAAAATGGCAAATAGTTCTTAAAAGACTTCTAAGAGCTGATTTCAAGGGAAGTTACTTCTTGTGGCCTTCGGCTCAATTAAAGAAGCATTGCAAGATGATCAAAGCAAGGGAAGTGCAAAACATTTGTGTCACTCTGATGGGTCTCCCCCAAAACTAGGTAGGAAATGAAAAAAGAAGATGGTCAATGCAGCCACGTTTCCATTTCCTTCCTCCCACAGACTGACCACAGACCAAAAAAAAATCTCTGGAGCACAGAGCCTGTGCCAAAAGAAAATCCAAAAGAATTTGTTATAAAGGTGGGAGAACAAAACTTTCCTGACCTTTTCCTGATGCCAGTGAGATGCTTCTTCCCAGCAGAAGCGAGCTGCTACCCGCCATGCCTGCTGTCAGCTGGAGGAACAGATGGCTCCGTGCTTCAGTTTTAACTGCTCGCTCAGCCACACAGCACAAATTGCATTAACTGCCTCACAGTGCGAGCAAAGAGCTGCATGCTCCTCACATCCTAGCTGTGAATCACTAAGGCTTACCATTATTCCCATGCGACAGGTCAGTCAGGAACCTACCTGTGTGGAAAAAGGAGAGGGGAAGCAGGAGCACAGCACAGGGGAATGCCTGAATGCCCTACAGGTAACTGCGGGTGCTAAAGAGCTGAGGTGTCCCTGGTTTGGTTTTTAAATGGTTTCCTATGTACAGTGCCTGTATGGGAACTGCTGAGTCACGGCCTGAATCTCTGATTGATCACCTGAGGCGAGCCATGAGTCAGCCAGAGGAGCACAGGTGAAGGCAATTCAGATGTGCTGCAGGAAGGGGTGGAGCCAGGCTCCAGCCCCCCTGGACCTATTTAAGAGCTGGCTGCCAGTGGGGAAGGATCTCTTCTGGAGATTGCTTCTACTGGTGTTTTGTGGGTGAGCCTAGCATAAGGGTAAACCTTCCATTTATTCTCTTTTGTTATCTTAGTCTACTTTGCCTAACTCTTTTGTTTATTTTGTGATTATAATATCTTAATTGATTATACAGTGCTAATTTCTGGAATAGTATCTCCTAGCACAAAAAAAAAAAAAAGCATGCAATAACATAGAATCATAGAATGGCTTCCATTGAAAAGGACATCAAAGATCATCTAGTTTCAATCCCATCTGTGGGAAGGGTCACCACCCACTAGACGAGGCTGCCCAGAGCCACATCCAGCCTGACCTTGAATGCCTCCAGGGATGGGGCATCCACAACATGCCTGAATTTAACAAGGCTATGTATCTTGAAACTGGGAAGAAAATGAAATCCTACTCTGATAAGAGCTAAAGGCACTGAAACATGTTACCCCACATACCTCTGTTTTTATGCTTCTTGTGTGAGTTGGGCTCCTCATATATGTTTACCTCAGTATCACCCACAATGTGAGCATTTGAGAAGTTTGTGCAGAAGATGAGTCCTGGCAGAGTTCCGGTTTAAGAGGCTGCTCTAAGCCTTGCAAAACAAAATGATTTATGAGATTTATTTTGCTGAAAAGTCCAAAAGCTTTGCTTGGAAATGGAAGGCATCAGCATTCTTCCCACTGAGGACGTTCAGCCTTAGTTACATTCCTTTTGGTTAAAGAAGGTTTGGCAAATTCCCATGCAAGAGAAGACACACATTTTCACTTGGTTTGATCACTTCTCTGCTGCATGCTAAATTAGTTTTCATTAGTTCAACAATTTCAGTAGAACACAATACAGTGAAAGTACAACCCTCAGCCTCCCACAGGCTGCTGGGACTCCTGCTGCAATGCTCACACACAAGTCTTGCTCTCCCCCTTCCCTCACTTCTGAGGAAGCAGGAACACTGTGTTTTTGCCACCTGGGGCAGAATTTCTATATTGTAATGCATTGCAAAATTCTGTTTGAGCTCCTGCTGCATAAAAACACATAAAACAACTAAGGGAAAACTAAAAGAAAAACACTATCTTATACAAATCTAGACCCACCTGCTAATGCTGTAAGCACTGCTTGCTCCAACCCAAATGCATGAATTGACTGCCCGTCTCATTATTGTATATGGGTAACAGCTGATGGCAGTTCATTTGTTCTACTCAAACTTGGTGGAGGCTCTGACTGCATCCTCTTTATCTCCTGTGCTGACTTCTGACCCTATATGACCAGAGAAGAGAGAACCTCTGCTGTTTTCCTGTTAAGCATGCACCAGTGAAAGAATACTTGATTAATACTTGATTTGATGCCCATTAAGCATTTCCACCTGTAACAGGCATTAACTCAGATGCTGGTTTACTACTCCAGCCCTTCTCCCTGTTTTAGCTGCTTCTTTTTAAAAAAAACTTTTCAAAATGCCAAAGAGAAACCAGAGCTGAGTTACAAAGCAACCTAAGAGACAGGAGGCAGCAGCAGGAGGATGTTCCCAGCCTTGGGGAGGCTGACAGGCAGTGAGGCACACCTCAAGCTGCAGGCCTTGCTCCTTTCTCACCAACAGCAGCTAGATGTCGACCATGTTTTTTAAGTGTGGCCCCCCCACCACATTCTCCCTTTGTCAGAGCGAGAGGGGCTTTAAAACGCACCACTAGAATCTATGTTAGCAGCACCTTTTAGATTTATGCAGGTATCAGTGGGAAGGGCTTGACCCAGGAAATGTAATTCTCACGTGCTGTGTGTGACATTAAGTGCGATTGAGCTGTTTTGCCTCAAAGACCACAGCCAAGCATCTCCTTTCCACTGCAGTGGCAGAATTACCCCTCTGAGGTTATCACTGCTGTTCTGCACATTGTTTTCCCTTGATCTCTGTCACCTCCTTTACTGAAGATCCCTGCAGCAATTTTACATAATCACATGTATTTCTTAAGCACCACGCAATGTTACAACCACTCTGCTGCCTCCATTTCAGGTACCCACCAGCACCAGGATGTCCAGCGAAACAAACACAGCCACCCACCATAAGCACAACTGAATGTAATGGTTAATTAAAATGTAACCAGCTGGGGGCTAATTAATTACCCTCTACCATCAAGCTCAGTGCAGAGAATGAAATTTAGGTTGAGGAGAACTGAATTACACCTTTTATCCAGTGTAGGCAAAGCATCCCACCGACTGGGATTAAAGCCAGGCTATGGCAGCACAAACCAACCCTGTGCTGTGCCTTTGAGCTAAGCAGCAGCCCAGGGGGCTCTGAGCAGAGCCATATGGTGAAGAGAGGGGTCCTGTGCTGCGCAGGCCCCTGGGCAGCATGCTACCCTGTGCTCTTCCCACACCTATCGCCTAGCACAGCTTCCTCTTACACCCGCTGTGTGTGCTTTGTGGGCCAGCTCCTGCAAAGCAAGCTCTTTCATCAACCTGGCAACCAAGTGCAAATCAAACATCCCCTGGAGAGGAACTCCTGGGGCCAAGGCCACAAGAGCATGACTAACACAGAGCTTAGCAATCCTGGCAGCGTGGGGCAGCACAGCTGTAAAGTAATTGCTAATTCTCCTGTTGTTAACAAGAGTGCTCCAGTTTCTCCCTCCTGTGATTTGTCCCATGTCTCCCAATGGCTGCTATGAAGCTAACAATCTGCCTCCTTACAGCCAGTTTCCCTGCTCTACAGAAAAATTGTCCTTAAGTCACCTTTCCCTCCCTTAGTCACATTAATACAGCCGTGCGCTGGCTCCTATCCTAGGATCACATTTTCATTATAATAAAAAAAATATACAGTGCCTTTTTGTCATCTTTGAAGAGAGTAACAAAACACAGCAAACCTATTATCCTGATTAAATTTTACCAATGAAGAAGAGATCCATTATGAAATTAGCTCATCTGCTGAAAGAACATTCCTATAGAGACAGGTATTTAAATGCATTTCTCTTGGCCACATTACTAGCAGTTCTTGAGATGATGAAAAAGAATTCTTGTTAAACATTTTAATCTCAATTCATTTTCACCCTTCAGTCTGAATTCCCAAGAGCTGCTAACACTTTGGCACTGCCATGTGAATGGCTGGAGTGCCTTCTGCCTGCTGCCCCGTCCATTAGCTCTCACTGAGACACCACGACTTCCCCAAACAAACTCAGGGTTTGCTTTTCATGCTCAGAGATCCTCTTGAAATGTTGACAAAAAAGGATTTTTAAGAAACATCGTACTTGGTTTCAACACTGTACTTAGAAATGCAGTGTTGAAACCAAAACAAACAAGAGTTTTAAATTTTCATTTTTCCAGGCAAGGTAATTAGATGACACTGGTGGATTCTTGGGAAATACTTGCAACGCTGAGATCACCTGCACTCAAGGAACAAAACGAAAAGGTAGAACATTCCATAAGACGGCATCTTTTCTTATTTCGGGTATGTCAAAAATTAAAAACAAGCAAACAAATCCCAGATTAGATATTCCATTTCTAACATAACCAGGAGTGCACACGGGAATGAACCAGGCTCAGAGCCTGGCCTGCTATCACCAATTCTGTTTTGTACCAGAAGATACCTCTCTGCCTCAGTCAGAGCCAGCAACTGCTCCAGCAATTATAGCTTTAGTATCAGGGAATACACATCAAGGAAAGGGCAAATTACAGGGCTTGCCCCTTCATTGCAACTCACTGTATTTGGAGCCACTCTGGGACAGATTGCTTTGCAGAGCCCTGCCATGAGCTGCACCAGGGAATTGTTCAGAATAATATAAAAAGAGGGCAAAGGAGGAGTTTTAAAGATGACAAAATCCTACACCTGGTTCACCACAGTTCTACAATCAAGCAGTGCAATAGCTGAGCTGTGGGAACCTCACAGCACAAGGGTAGGAAGAAGCACTTGGGACTGGCAACTCCTTTAAATCAGTGCAGAGACAGAGGGCCCTGCACCAACAAACGCTCAGTCTGCAGGCCTTGCCTCCTGTCAGAATTTCCAGCCTTGGCTTAAAGGTTCCCTACTATAGCACGTGAACTTGTGCCAGGGCAGAACAACCTCCTGCACGAGCATTCCAAGGACAATCTCACATAAAATGTGTGACTGCATTGAAGAGCACCTTCAGAAGGCAGTAAGGAGGTATTTCTTTGGTAGTTTGGAAATCAGTGAATTAGGATTGGTAATCAACAGAATATGTACAGTTTGCCCACACATTTCAAATTTCAAAGCATACTGCTCTTGGGAACAAAGCAGATAAGCAACAAAAATCATGAGGGTCTCTAACTACAATTTGGCCATACTTCCAACACACTGCCATGCTGTTAGCTTCAGTGGGGGCAGAAAACTCCTCGCTAAGGCTTTGGAATGCAACTCTTGCTGTTTCTTTAAACAGTTGCTGTGCTGCACCAACTTATCTCCCTAAGTAGCTATACCACTTTAGCTTCCTTGGAGGTCAGTTACTCATCAGGCTAAGCACATCCGGAGTAGGAAGAAAATGCCTTAATCCTGTTCTGTGTGCTTGCTTTTATACACACATCCACAATTCTCCCACACGCAACAGGAATCCTCATTTGCTGCTCTGGCTGCCCATGCTGCACAGCTGCAGATGTCCATGAGGAGGACTTGGGCTCTTACTTCTTGTGTGTTACAGCGGAGGTACTTCTCAGAAATCCTAAATTAAAAGGTAAAACAAGAAACCATGTGGATTTATTTGCACATCTGCTGAATGATTTCAGGACTTCAATTAATGATGTTAAGTTTCTCTGAGAAATACAGGAAGCAAAAATGTGATAAAAATTGGCTAAAATTAAGTGCCTGTGCATTTACCTGAGGGAATTTATTTTACATTAGCGTGATTATTAACAACAACAACAACAAAAGAGGCAGCACCATAACACTTTCCTGGTATGCACAAACAACTACTGGTCTATAAAATAGCATCGGCCTTCATACCCAGGGACAATTTT